GCTCTTGTTGCACTTTTTCAGCTCATTTGCAGAATCTGTTCACACCCCAGTCACCTTTCTCACTCACTATGTGTTAACAGACCTCTCTGCATTGAATCATATCTGTTATTAATCTCTGTCTCTCTTCCACAGCATGTCTTTATCCGGTCTTCATTCTCTCACCACAACTGGTCACAGCAGATGGCCCCGCCCTGAACCGGAGGTTTCTTCCTGTTAAAAGGGAGTTTTTCCTTCCCACTGTCGCCAAAGTGCTTGCTCATAGGGGGTCATATGACTGTTGGGTTTTTCTCTATATCTATGAAGCACCTTGAGGTGACTGCTGTTGTGATTTGGTGCTATATAAATAAAATTGAACTGAATCGCTCACGCTCAGCCAGAGCCTCTGATCAGAATTCCTGCCATCAGACTGGGATTTCCTTTAAAGCTTTCCAACGAGCTGTTTTAGAGTTCACACAATAAACATAAATAAAGTAAATGCTCATTCAACGCTTTCTGCATTTGTTTGGATGTTTGCAAGACTCAGAGGTAACTCATCAGCCCAGTAACCAATCAACCTGCGGTTTGAATTCATGTCATTTTAATATAAACCGTCGCCTGTTTCTAAGACTGTCTCACAAGTTTTTATGATGAAACAAATCAACAGGAATCATTAGCCCGACACATCAACCCTCCAGAACTTCCAGAACTTCTCTTCTTGCACACATGAATGAGCTAATATGTCATGAACTGTATGTGGAGCAGGCAGGATTGGACCCAAATGTCAGGCAGGACTTGACACAAACACACAACTTTATTGTTGGAACGTCAAAGAAAAACAAAATTAACCTAAACTAACCCAAATGGAGACAGAAACCTAAACAGCAGTGACGTTTGTGGGTTACTGAAGTTGGGCTAGCTGGTATATAATGATGTGCTACGTGGTAGCTAGCTACACAGCTATGTTAGCATAGCATATACACAGTGAAGCTGGAGTATGAACGCTAACTTTTTTCCACTTGATAAAAGTTAACGTGAAGGTTCCTGATGGTTAAACAAATGCAATCGCATAGCAGGATGCTGTAAACGGACCAAACTTCAGTCAGGAGAACAACTGAGATAATCCATCCACAATACAAGGTTAGTCATTAACAGTGTTGGGCAAGTTACTTTGAAAAAGTAATTAATTATAGTTACTATTTACTAGAGGGCCCGGTGGCGCCAGTGTCCGGCAGCCTCGCCTCTGTCAGTGCGCCCCAGGGTGGCTGTGGCTACAATGTAGCTGCCATCACCAGTGTGTGAATGTGTGGATGACTGAATGTGTAAAGCGCTTTGGGGTCCTTAGGGACGAGTAAAGTGCTTTACAAATACAGATCATTTATTCCCATTAGTGGTCATTAATATACTGCAACAACACGGGAACAGAGCAGCTGTGAGAGAATTCAACATTATTGAATCAATGTTACGGAAGTGGAGGAAGCGCAGTTTTTGGCTTTCCCCATATTCCAAAACGTGCTTCGTCTCTTCACTGTTACTGTCGCGCAACATAATTTGCAGATGATGTTGTTTAACCCTAACCCCTAATGCTTTTGACCAAGACAAACAAACCATCAATATGCGCTATCGTGGTAGAGCGGTACAGTCAAAATCTCTACTGTTGGCCAATTTCATACCGTTTCTATTGCCCACCCCTACTTAGACATAAACCATAATACAAAATGACATCAAAACAGTGGGTCAACTGACCCAGGACATGACAAAATATGAGACTAGATTCAAAATAATTGTGTTCATGTCCAGAAAAACAAATAAATTCAGTTTCATGAACATTTTAAAACCTTTGCTGAAGGCTCCCTACAGAGAGCATGTCAGATGTCACCAAACGAGCCGTGTTAGTGATTAAAGTCCGTCTGAGCCTCACCAGTGCCCAACATTTGCAATTTGTTGCTTGTGTTTTTGGGAGGGGATCAGAGCTCTTCTGACAGATCCTGCCGATATGTTGGAGTGCTGTTGTGTGCTCCAGGTCTTTACGCCAGACGATAAATAATGATGAGAATTTCCATCGAAGCTTAAGCAGCCAGTCAAAACGCCAAACGCTGAAGGACAAAGTGAGGTAAACGCCGCTGAAACACATTATTAATGACGAGCAGCAGAGAGCAGGTTAAAGAGCACAGACATGCTCAGCATCAACAAAGAGGCTTCAGAGTACGTCCTGGGAACGAGCGCAGTGGGTTTCATAATTACGGATGTTTGTGCACAGACTTCAGAGAGAGACACAGCCAAGCAAAAACAGCTGAGAAAAGTGAAACAAAGTTTGTTTTACCAGCCCAGTCGGGCCTTCACACCAGGTCAGCACTCATCAACACTCCAGTCATGAGGAAACGGCAAGCCTGATAACATCCCGCTTTGCTCGGCCATTCGCTGTCTGAAGACTCACCTCAGCAGTCCTGAGACGTCTCACGCAGAGAGACGAATTTGAGTTGACTCTAACGCGCCTGCAGTTGATCTGCAGCCATGCCTCAGCTTTTAATAAAATGGCCTGCATTTGTATAGCGCTTTACACTACATCCAGTCATCCACCCATTCACACACTGGTGATGGCAGCTACACTGTAGCCACAGTCACCCTGGGGCGCACTGACAGAGGCGAGGCTGCCGGACACTGGCGCCACCGGGCCCTCTGACCACCACCTGTAGGCAAACGTGGGGTTACTTTCTTGCCCAAGGATATTTGGCATGCAGCCAGCAGGCAGCCTGGGATCGAACCACCGACCTTCTGATTGGTGGCTGACCGGCTCTGCCACCTGAGCTACAGCCAAAATGAAAAGCTTGTCAGGGCTGAGCTCAGCACAGTTGACGGGAACAGAACCTGATCCGGCCTGACTGAAGCAAAGCCGTGCACGTGGCTTCCCGCAGTGCTGCGACGAAGCAGGTTTATGGTCTCGCTCCCAGCCCGTCACAGGTGGATGCTCTATTGACGATGGCGAGCCGCGCTGACCCAGACAGACCTAAAGCAGCACGCGGCCACATGTTCCTGATGGAGTGAGTTCTAATGCTAAACACAGCGTTCAACTCCCTTCTTGGAAAGTTTAACACGTCTGCAGACAGGCTGCACTGATCTGCACACCTTATTGCTCAGAGTCTAACAAGTTCCTCCTCTGGGAGTGATCGCTGATTAGTCTGTGCTGATTGGTTGAGGGTAAACTCTTCAGAGATGCTGCTGAATCTTCTTGCAGCCCGGTGAGCATCAAAAACTTGCTCCTGCTCGATGTGTACATAGCAGGGCCGTGCACCAGCTTCCTTCTTCTTATCCAAAGCGAAGTTGTACTGGCAACAGGGTAGGCTGGGCTCCTCCCGTGCAGTATTTTCCACTATCCAGGTTTTTACAGCCAGACAAGACAGAGATGAGGTCTCTCCAGTGAGTTCTGGGTCTGCTTAGAAAACTTCTAAGAGGAGGCGTCCAAGAGGCCTTCCTGAGCACCCGCCTCCCTTTGAAGGGGCGCAGTAATGGCTCTGGCACCTGTATCCTCAGTCTGCTGGTGTCCTGCCAGAGCTCGCGGTGACGTTAGGACCACAGTCTGCCTGAAAAGCTACTCCTGTCTTCAATGTTACCTATTATACTATTACAGTGATCATCTGAGGATGAAATTATTATATAACCTGGTGAATTTTAAGAGTTTAGGTATAAAAACTTAGTGGAATCCCTGTGACTGTGAAAAGCAACCACAAAGCTCCGTGGGCCTCCCGGCTGACAAACCTGTGATTAATGAGTTTACCCCAAGATGCAGGGCTGTGGTGCAGAGCTGCTGCTGCAGTGCATTCATGAATAAAACACGATGCAGCGTCTTTCGTGATCTGCACCGGTACGGCGACACTGACCTGCACGTGTGCAGGCTCCTTTTAAATGAAAGCCTCGTGTCACTTTAGTTTAGTTCTGCATTATTTGCTTTATTATTCAGTCAAAGTGGTGATAAAGACATGCTGACATTGGTTAACAGCATTAGTCAGACAGCGCGCAGTGACAGCAGTAAGGAGCAGATACTGATCACACCCTCTCTGCAGGCAGCAGTGTGTAAAGCTGCACGTTACTGTATTTAATTAGGGTTTCATCTTTATGGAAGTATCTGAAGGTGCAGTCTGTGCAGGGACGCTCTGTGTTGAAGGTTCAGATCAGTGCACGGCCACGTCTCGCTGCGAAGTACAGCCTTCTAATTCAGCCTCTGCCTCACTTCAGGTTCTTCTTTGTTCCACCCACTAACGTGTCCTCAGGAGAGATAAGAGACTGAGGATCTTTACGCTCCAAGGAGGCGGGACATGCTTAGGGTAATAGCTAACCCGATCGTGCCTCAAGAGTTGGCAGTTTGTCTTGTAATCAGAAGGTTGCCGGTTCGAGCCCCAGTCTCGGTCGTTGTGTCCTTGGGCAAGACACTTCACCCGTTGCCTACTGGTGGTGGTCAGAGGGCCCGGTGGCGCCAGTGTCCGGCAGCCTCGCCTCTGTCAGTGCGCCCCAGGGTGACTGTGGCTACAAGGTAGCTGCCATTACCAGTGTGTGAATGGGTGGATGACTGGATGTGTAAAGCGCTTTGGGGTCCTTAGGGACGAGTAAAGCGCTATACAGATACATTATAACAGCAGTCTGCATGTTCTAGCGTTAAAGTCTGTCTATCTGCTGTAAGCAGGAAACAGACATCACAGAGTCAGAGCTTCTCACTGGAACAGAGAGGAGTGAGGGTGCTGTGCTACAGCGTTAACAGCCATGTTTCACTCGTAGTTGTCATTAGGATTAAATTCCCCTACAGCCCGAAGCTGTGATTAAATTCAATGCCCTACGGTGCAGGCAGATGAAGTGCTCATGGGAACAGGTCGCTGCAGCTGATGATGATAATGGTTTTATGTAGACGTGGAGCTGTGCAGGACGTACACGTCAGATCTGCAGCCTGTGGTCCTCGGTGACACTGAGATGTGTGTGTGTGCGCGTGCGTGCGCGTGTGCGTGCGCGCGTGTGTGTGCGTGCGCGTGGCGTACTGTTCTCGTGCTCTTCCACATTTCCCAGGAACGTCGCTGGAACTCCGAAGGCGGACGCCAGCACCCACACACAGATGTTCACCACCTGAACACATGAAGACATGAACAGTTTAATGTTTTTAAGACTTCCACATCATCATTTTTACACAAATTAAGAGTCATACACGGAAATTAAAATTTGAAAACAAATTTGTCAGATGGATCAATAAACTCTCCATTTCGAGAAAACTGGAATTTTATATTTCAGCCTTTAAGGGGTTTACAGCCAATCAGGGCTTTATATTTTAAGGTCCTGATACGTCTATAAAAAGAGTCAAAATAACGTAGAAAACCTCTGAAAAGTTCTTTAAACCTGCATTCTACACAATGACCAGCAGGAGGCAACTCCTCTGGCTGAAGACAGCTTATTGTCAGAAAGGTCAGGGAAGCTGCTCACTGGTTCATAACGTTTCACTAATTTAGACTAAACAAACACAAAGTTTCCCTCTGATAGGAGCGAGACGGTGATGTCACAGCGGCGGCTTTTTATGACAGCAGGATAAAACGTACCTTGGCCTTGTGAGGAGTCCTCATGTCCAGCGCTTTGACAGGGTGGCACACAGCCACGTACCTGTCCATGCTCATCACCGTCAGCGTGAAGGTGCTGGTGAACATGTTGTAGTAGTCGATGGACACCATCACTTTGCACAGAGTGTTCCCGAATGGCCAGAAGCCCAGATACAAATCAGTGCCCTGGAAACATCCAGAAAGCAGAGTCTGAGCGTGAATCACACAACTTATCCTGCTCAGGGTCACAGAGCCGGAGCTCCTAGAGGAACAGGTGGTTAACCTACAGAGTTTGCACGCGTGCAGATGATGTCGTACCTGGAAAGGTAGCGTAGCCAGAAAGAGCGAGTCGGCCAGTGCCAGGTTAAAGATGTAGATGTTGGTGGCTGTTTTCATCTTGGTGTACCTGAGCGAGAAGAATCAGTTCAGTCAGACACACAAACACACACCTCAGTGAAGCACCTGACAACAGCAGATAACCACCGGCCCCGCTGACCACTCTCAGTTCATCACTGTCACCAACCAATCAAAATCAAGAAGGGGAGGGACTTGTGGCAAATTTGTAAAAACATTTTTTTTAGTTTGTTTGATTTTTATTGTGGCAGATGAGGAGGAGCACTCGTTCCAGCTGTTCAGCAACCAGACTGCAGGAGGCACGCGTAGCCCTGTGACCTCCCACGGAGGCCGCGTGAACGCGAGCTTCAGTTTCAATGCGACATTTTCAAACTTGAACCGTCATGTGACGCACTTTAGTCACGTATGTGATTTTAGAGACAGCAGGAGGCGCTGTCAACACAGCCACGCCTAGAAGACAGGTTTGTAACCTAGCAACCCGCCTGAGCCTGTAAACAGCGCCCGCCGTAAGCCTGAGCCGAGCCTAAATCTAAAACCAGGTCTAAGGCGGCAGAAGAAGCAGTCGGGTGAGGAGCAAGCTCTGCTTTTTTAACCTTAATTTAGGAACCACGGGGAGGATGGCAGACATCTGGGGTGTAGAAGGAAACACGAACAGAAGCACGCAGCGGAGAGTCATGTGACCTGCGTCTTATCCGAGCGCATCGGCTGCTGCAACTTTGAACCAAGTGTAGAAAACGCAGTGCAGTCAAACCTCCTCCCTGCCCCCAGCCGGTTTCACCCTCGCTCTCTCTCCTCAGCACATCCCCTTCTTTCTTCCACTCTTCCTCTCGTCTCCTCCTCTGCCTCCTTTCCTCTTCAGTCCTCTTATTGTTTCTCCAGCTTCGGTTTTATGTTCCTCGCTTCCTTTACATCCCAACATCTGTGTCTTTCACTCTTTTATGCTTTCGTGCCTCTCGTTGCCTCCCTCTGATGTATCCCTGCTGTACTCAGCCCTCTGACTCCGTCTCCACCTGCAGCTCACAGGAAGCCGCCTTTATTAAGTTAAAATCAGGTCTTAAAGGTCAAAACTGAGAGATGAAGATTCATAGAGAGCGGCTGAGAGAGGCAAAGGAGCGGCGACGTTCAGCCGTCACAATATTAATCCAGGGAAATCTTACAGTTTTTGCTCGTTGCTTGAACACTATAAACCCATGCTTAGACTAAAGTAACACAACTTGAAGCTTTTGTTACCATACCCCAAACACATGTACCCATACCTTAAACAAAAGTGCTGCTTTGCACTCTGGTTGCAATTATGCAACACACTTACTCCTTTATGCAACACACATGGTCCTGCATACTACACTCTATTTCATACATAAGACACTTCGTTCAAAAATGAAATTTCAGGGTGCCATTTGGAAAACACATGTATCCAAAATACAAAACACATCGGGTAATTGCAACCACTCAAATATACACCTGAAGGCACTTACTTGCAAAACTGAACACCAATTAGCCAACCACAAAAAGCCCTCAGTTTAGCCAATTCAAGAACTTTGCAAGCATGGATGGAGGGAGAGCAAGAGGAAGAGGAAGAGGAGGTCAAAGAGGCCATGCACGGACCCATATTTCTGATGATATAAGAGCAACTTTGGTGGACCATGTCATCAACCACGGCCTGACTATGAGGGAAGCTGGGCAGAGAGTCCACCCACATCTAAGCCGCTTCACAGTGGCATCTGTAATAAGAAAATTCCGACTAGAAAACAGGTCTGTCTTCATCTCACTGCCTTCTACTCTACTCAGATGGTTTTCATAGTACTGTTCTACAGTTACCATATCAAGTGTGCAGGGTACTGCAGGGTGCTAATGCTCCTTTTGCAGCCAAAGTGGTAGTTTCTGTGAAACATACCATGATTACTTATATTGAAGTACAGTGTTGTACAGTGGATGATACAGTATATACAGTAAAGTACTGTAAGAAAAATAAGCAAACCGATGACAATATGTGGTTGTATTTCTCTAGAATGACTCGAAGACCTTCTGGGGGAGGACGCCAACGCCTGTTCACACAACGGCAGGAACTTGCTGTTGTGGACCTAGTGAGGGCAGACAATGCCATCCGTCTCCACCAGCTACGACGGAAAATACTTGCAGACAGGCGAGTGTTCAGCAACATAGACCATGTGAGCATCACCACCATCAGACGCATCTTGGGTAAACACAGCATCACCATGAAGCAGCTCTACAGAGTCCCATTCGAGAGGAACAGTGACAGGGTCAAAGGACTTCGAGCTGAATATGTACGGGTACGTGTAACTGTCCCTTACATTTACAATAGAGTATTGGTGAAGTCCAGTAGCAGCTGAATATGTACCATATCAGTACCACATGGATCCATTCTGAGAGCTACACAGGTACCTGTGTGATGGGGTGAGGGTGCTGTATGTGTAGCACTGTAGTACAGTGATATGTTCCCCTTTTTTTCAGAGAATCTTGGCCATGGATGGAGCTGCACAGCCTCATGAATACATTTTCATTGATGAAGCTGGATTCGACCTGAGCAAAACAAGACGACGGGGTCGTAATGTAATTGGCCAAAGGGCAATTGTGCACGTCCCAGGGCAGCGCGGGGGAAACATCACATTATGTGCCGCCATATGCCTTCGAGGGCTTCTGCACCATCATGCAATACTAGGTCCATACAATAGCCAACACATACTCACATTTCTAGATGCTCTCCATGATCTAGTTGTACAGAACAGACCAGATCAGCCCAGGTTTGTGGTGATATGGGATCATGTCAGTTTCCATCGGGCTGCTCTGGTCCAGGCCTGCTTCTCCAACCAAAGTCAACTTGAAGTGGTATGCTTGCCCCCTTACTCACCATTTTTAAACCCTATAGAGGAATTTTTTTCGGCTTGGAGATGGCGTGTATATGACCGCCAACTACATGCCCGCATGCCTCTTCTGCAGGCAATGGAACAGGCCTGCGGCGACATTCAGGTGACAGCAATCCATGGATGGTTTTGACATGGAAGAGGATATTTTCCCCGGTGCCCAGCGGGAGAAGACATTGCTTGCGATGTTGATGAGGTCCTGTGGCCAGACCCCAACAGACGGCGGGATCCATGAGCCCACGTATGCACAATTGTCATGATTTTTTGTTTACAGTATAGTGTTTTTTCTATTACTGTATTATGGGGTTTTTTTGTTTTGGTTTTTTTTGCTTTATCTGAATTCATGGTACTGCAATGTACAATATTGAGTAGGTCTATTTGCTTTTTTGGTTGTTTGCAAATGTGTCTCCTGAAAATATGCCTTCTGAATGAACAATGGAAATCAAAGACTGCAGTGCTTTATATAAAGTAGACTAGTGTGTTCCTCCTGCTCTGTAAGTGTTTGCATATGATGCAAGTATGTGTCATTTTGTCAACAGAGTTACATTTTGACAAAGGAATGTTAGGTTTTGATAGCAGAGTTTAGGTTTTGAGAGTAGAGTTTCAATTTGGTGCAGATGTGAATGGTATATTTCCCAGTGTTGTGTCATGTTTACTTGTGTTTAGGGTTTTGGCACAATGAGCAAAGTTTTGCAAAATGTGTTCAGGCAACGGGCAAAAACTGTAATTTCTATTTATGTGCTTCTGGATTATTTCACCCTAAAAAAATGAATTTACTGCTCCACTTAAACACCGGCAGCCTCCGCAGCCAGAGAGGTGGAGGAAGCAGCTGCAGGTGCGTCAGGCAGGAGGTCAAACTTCCTGTTTTTGACTCTCACCATGGTCACGTTCGGTCTGCTATTATCATTATCATTTATTTTCTCCTCCACCTTTCCACTCTTGCTGCTCTTCACTGCTCCACCTCCCAGCTCCAATCAGCTGCTTTCATCTCTCGCCCGGTTCTTTCCTTCCTTCGGTCCTTCCTTTCTGTCTTTCCTTGCTGCCTCCTTCCCTGTGCATGCTGGAGTCTTGCCGGGAGCTCGGGAGTCTTCACACAGAATATTTTATGGTGTTCAGCTGAGCTCTCCGCCCATTTTCACATCGGGACCACATCTCCCCTCCTCTCCACCTCCACCTCCTCTCTCTTCTGTTGCTCTGTTGCTGTAGTTAAAAAACCCTGAAATGCTGATTATGAGTTCAGTGCTCGTGGGCACAAAGGAAGAGGAGAGTGACCGGTGAGGCCGGAGCTCAGAGAAGCGTCGGGCAGTCGTGTCTTCTCACAAACACACACGAACCTTTTTACAGCGTTTGCACCGAGTTTCATCAGCTCTGCTGCTTTGATGATTTACCGCAGGATTGTGTGCTTCACTGCAAAAGCACGCCGACAGTAAGAAACACAAGCACTGAAGACAAACGAGTCCTTCGTGCAGCGGATGCTTAAAGAGCGTCCCAAGACAAGATCCTCAGGAAGAAACAGATCCATCCTCTGCGTGCTGCGCAGAAATGATTCTTCATGAAAACCCTTCAGAATCAGGATGAAGGACAAAGATCATCATTCAGTCAGTCTGCCTGTCAGCAACACAACAAACTGCATCTCTCCATCACAGCTGGAAACTGACCAGAATTCCTCCCGGTTTCTCTTCATTTCTTTTGGTGCGTACATCTGAAGGTACCGGACGTCTGTAAAGGGATCCAAGCCCGACCCCTGAGGACGTCTCCGATGTGTTTAACAGTAATCCTGCTAACATCATGGTCCCGCGTCTGCCGGCCGGCCCTGCAAGGCTACATGTGTTTTTGATTACGCTCTCCCCCTTTCTCTCGCCACTCCGCCTGGGTGGAGCTTACTGCTCCCGCCCTTGGCCCACACACCTGTTGGCCTGCATTTAAGGCTGGGACGCAGGCAGTCTCATCGCTGGATGATTGTGCGACTAAGTGAGCCTTCAGTGAAGTTTTCTTGTGTTAATCTGTGCTTCTGTGTAACCGATGTCTTTTGTGTATAGTTTTCCCGGACCTGTGACCTACCGCCGTGTGGACGTGTGTTAGTTGTAGTGTGAAGTTGAGAGTGAGTGTGAGAGAGCTTCCCCTACCTGGATTTCCACCACCGTATATATTCTGCACCTGGTGATTATGT